TGACATCCTGTGTGGTTTTTGTGAGTGTGGGTCTGGTGTCATTTTTTGTGTTAGGGAGTCGTTTGTCAATAAGGGCGGGTTTCCAAATGGCTGGTAGGTGGGAGGTATCATCTCATTTGTTCATGCTGTGTGGGCGTTTTTCTATCTCGATGGCTTCTCTGATTATTCTGTTATTAAAATGTTCACTTTTGGCAATGGTTCTGGTATTTTTAAAGTCAATTTCATGTCATGTGGCTTTAAGGTGTTGGACCAGGGAAGATGTTGGTTCCTCTTTTTTGACTGAGTTCTTATGTTCTTCAATGCGTGCACTTATTCTTCTGTTGGTTTGTCCGATGTATGTGTTGGGACAAGTGGTGCATGGGATTTCATATACTCCTTGATTTTCTAATTCAATTTTATCTTTGGGGTTTCTTAGGATGGTGGATATTTTTCTGTTTGTGCAGAATGCTGTTTTGAAATTGTGTTTATGGAGGATCTTATTGATTCTGTCTGTGGTGCCTTTTATGTATGGGAGGAGGGCTTTGCCGTTTTCTTGTTCTCTGTCTTGGATTTTAGTGGGGGTTTCTTTTTGGATTAGGTTTGTAATCTTATTTCTTTGAAATCCATTGGATGTTAGTACATTGGTGAGAGTGTGTAGTTCGGTTTTTAGGTGTTGTTCGTCAGCTAAGCGTTTTGTTCTAGAGATGAGTGTCTTGGCTACGGAGTTGATCTGTGCTGGCTGGTGGTGTGAGAGAGCGTGCTTGTGAGCGTACTTGTGAGTTTTGATGTCATATCCCTCTTCACCTAAGTGCCTATCAAAGAAGCCTTGACAGCTATCCAGAACAAATATAACCCCCAAACACATCTTAGATCTGACCAACCACTGCCTATCCAACACATACTTCATCTATAACGGACAAAAATACAAACAAACAGAAGGAGCACCCATGGGATCACCCCTCTCACCTGTCATTGCTAACCTCTACATGGAACACTTTGAAACCCAAGCTCTAGAAAAATCGGATCACAAACCCAAACTCTGGCTCAGATACGTAGACAACACCTTCATAATCTGGCCACATGGGAAAGAAAAACTGGACAACTTCCTCACACACCTCAACAGCCCAAAATACAGTTCACCATGGAAACAGAAGCTAATAACCAACTTCCCTTCCTGGATATCTTAGTCTACAAGAAATCCAATGGCTCCCAAGGACACACCATCTACCAGACGAAAACACACACAAACCGCTCTCTGCATGCTCTCTCACACCACCACCCAGCACAGATCAACTCCGTAGCCAAGACTAGAACAAAATGCTTAGCTGACGAACAATACCTAAAAACCGAACTACACACTCTCACCAATGTACTAACATCCAATGGATTTCAAAGAAATAAGATTACAAACCTAATCCAAAAAGAAACCCCCACTAAAATCCAAGACAGAGAACAAGAAAACGGCAAAGCCCTCCTCCCATACATAAAAGGCACCACAGACAGAATCAGTAAGATCCTCCATAAACACAACATCAAAACAGCATTCTGCACAAACAGAAAAATATCCACCATCCTAAGAAACTCCAAAGATAAAATTGAATTAGAAAATCAAGGAGTATATGAAATCCCATGCACTGCTTGTCCGAACACATACATCGGACAAACCAACAGAAGAATAAGTGCACGCACTGAAGAACATAAGAACTCAGTCAAAAAAGAGGAACCAACATCTTCCCTGGTCTAACACCTTAAAGCCACAGGACATGAAATTGACTTTAAAAATACCAGAACTATCACCAAAACTGAACATTTTAATAACAGAATAATCAGAGAAGCCATCGAGATAGAAAAACGTCCACACAGCATGAACAAACGAGATGATACGTCCCGCCTACCAGCCATTTGGAAACCCGCCCTTATTGACAAACGACTCCCTAACACAAAAAATGACACCAGACCCACACTCACAAAAACCACACAGGATGTCACCACCACACATCCATGCAAAAAGCAAACCCAAAGCCACACTGATGATGAGGCATGACCACAAACCAGAAGCCAGACCACAGCTGCATCATTAGCCCCTTTAAACCCCTCCAACCCATACATGAAGCAAACTGACACCCTCCATGAAGATGAGGCACGACCACAAACGCGAAGCCAAAAAATAGCAAGGTAACCCACCATCTTAAACCCCCCTGCAACTCAGACTAACCTGAGCACAACAAAGCCCCCACCCAAACAGAACACTCCCTCAGCCAATCAGAGCACAGCCAACCCCCCAGCCAATCAGAGCACAGCCAAGCCCCTAACCAATCAGAACACACCTCCACCCAATCAGAACACAGCCAAGCTCCCACCCAATCAGTTCATACCCCCTCTGGCAGTTAAAAGGAAGAAACAGCTAAGACCACACATTGCTTCTCGAAGCACGAAGCTGAAAACACCAGCCTGAAGATGACGAATGGGACTTCGTCGAAACGTCGCCAAGACACTTCCAATTTTACGCGGGAGAAAACCCGAATAACCAAAGACCTACATACAAACACCGCGAAAACCTCAGAAAACAAATATATATATATATGTAGGTCTTTGGTTATTCGGGTTTTCTCCCGCGTAAAATTGGAAGTGTCTTGGCGATGTTTCGACGAAGTCTCATTCGTCATCTTCAGGCTGGTGTTTTCAGCTTCGTGCTTCGGTTAAATTTATTCAATTTACCATACATCACTTGGAAATCAGATTTGGAAAGCTGATCTTGAATACCGAGATCAATATTCAATAGAGATGAATATTGAACTGGTTTAATTAAATATGTGGTCAGTGACCAGACTTGGTCAGTGTCCATCAACCTGTTTTAATGAATATGGAGTATTGGGTTGTATTAGACAGATTTCTCTGCTCATTGAAGATCATGAAAATGGGCATATATTCTGGATAGACAGATTTAAATTGCTTAGTAGTCACAAACCATAATCCTCAACAACTACCGGTACTAAACTAATCACTATCTACAATGAATCTAGCAATAATGCAGACAGTAACATGCCAGTCATGGTATGAGTATTAAATAAAGGAATTGGGTAGATGAAGGATGAAAAACTAGGAGTGTTATTCAAGACACCCTAATGTTTAAAGGAAGCACTAGTAAATTACCAAGAAATTGCCAAAAAATACTTTGTTGTAATACTTTGTACTGTTTTCCACCATATTATAATTGTGCAACAGCTGCCCCTCAAAGCATAAGCAATGATAGAGTTCTATCTTGTAAAAATAAAGCAAAATTTGTATTCTGTCTTAATTATTGTGAATCCTTGATGGGAGACTATGAGAAAAACCTTAGGATGTATTATACACTTGAACAAAAATATATGAAAACGTAGAAGACAAAAATTCTCTGAATTATAGCTTAACAAGTGACTGTACCCAGACATATATAATGCTCTCCAGAAAATGTGAAAAGGACTTGCCACTGCCTTCTCTAGGGATAATTTTTTGACTTTCTAGTCTCAGCTACAACCCCAGGATTTTTCTCATAGTCTCCCATCTAAGTACTAATCAAATGTTACCTTGCTTAGTTTTTTTAAGATAAGCCAAAGACATTTGCTACTACCATCTACTGAATTCTGAATTAAAAGGCATGGTTCATAAAGCATGGTTATTCTGTGTATAATTCGTATTCTTCTAGTTTTATTGCTACATCAATTCTTGCAGTCAACCATCCATTGCACAACTTGATGACAGATCACTGCTACTTATCAATATAGTTGGTACATAGGACAGCAGCACCACTAACTGTCCATTATTATGCAATGTTCATAGCTATTGGTATGTTTTATTTCAAAAAAGGCTCCCAAATTATATATAGCATCCAAATGTAACTTTTTAAAGCAAACAAAAGAAGGCATGAAAATGTTCAAATTAAATAATGTTACCTATACAAACAGGTTCATATTCTACTCTATTTGAAATAAATATGTAGGCTTGACTAATTTCCACAAAATTAAAATAATTTTTTCTCATACCTTGGTGAAACAGACTTAAGATTAGCCCACATATTAAAGATCAATTCTCAAACAATATGGAAAATTGCCATCCTATCTGGTGCTAGAAATTGAAATTTTCAGATTCTAAAAAGTTTTAAAAATCAGTTACATGTATACTATAAAAGTCCATTTTTGTAACTGAGAGTAGGATAAAGGGATTTATTTGTTCTTTTGAGTCTTTCAAAGTTGAATGTTACATGACATAATTTTAAGCCTTTGAGTCAATTATAAAATTCTTTTAAAAGTAATTATTTATATCTATTCAGATGTTCAAGTGTGATAATATTGTTATGAAGCAAAGTACAATATTGTTTATCTAATTTACAATGGAATGAGAAATTCTGGGGGATAGCAGGGTCACATATCTTATTTTTGTTTTTTTCTAGTTACATGCAGAGAAACTAAAAAGGTAAAAGCTAACATAAAAAGTATACTATATTAAGTATAATAAAATGCCAAGTAGATAAGCACAAAGGGAAAGCATTGTAAGGGCTGTGGCCCACAAACAAGAATATTGTGTAACTTGAATTCTACCGTAGAGAAGGTTGTTTCTGATAGTCATTTACCTAAGTGCATTGGACCACCAAAGATGAATCAAAGAGTTAGTTAGGCATGTTGGGAGGGGATATTTAAGAATCAATACTTGGATCTCCAGATAATACCAGTTCTTTGAACTAGTCCTAGAAGAGACTGGAAGCCAGCCACTGCAGTTTATGAAGTTCTAGCATTTCAAAATATACTGATCAATCTAAATTAATAACCTAATAGCCTTAGTTTAGCTTATTGCGATTTTCAAATTATTTTTAATAATACATTAAAAAATACCAAGAGATTATGAGAAGGATAAATGATGCTGTCTGTCTGTCTGTCTGTCTGTCTGTCTGTCTGTCTGTCTGTCTGTCTATCTATCTATCTATCTATCTATCTATCTATCTATCTATCTATCTATCTATCTATCTATCTATCTATCTATCTTACCTTCACCACTCCATTTTCATGCATAGTAATGCAATTGTTGGGATCCTCTGACAGTTGATACAGTGCTTGTGCAGTAGCTCGGTGAACCTCCGGATCACTTGATTTCAGGTAACGTACCAAAGGGGCAACGGCTTTGGTATCTCCAAAACCAATCCTGTTACTTCCCCACATGCAGCAGCGAGAAATGGCATCAGCTAAATGCCGTCTTAATTTGTCATTGTTCTAAACCAAGAGGAAAAATAAGTATTAATAAAAATGCATCCCGTGATGTCTTAATGGGAGACACTTCACATAACTGCAACTATTAAAATGAAAGGAGCTTAAAAAGAAAAAGGGTTGGCTTTTTTGTTCTCAGTGCTTTATTGGTTATTAACATCAGGGTTTTTTTTAAATATATATATTTAGGACCTCTGGAAAATTATATTTTATCAGAATATGCAGATTCTGAATTAACATTTTACTTTTAAACTGCACAAGAAAAGTAAAAAATGACATCATACAGTGTATTCCAGAATATTAGCAACAAGAACAAAGTTTTACTTACTGTATTTGCTAATTTGGATAATAAAGGAACAACACCATGATCAGTTATAACAGCTAAATTCTCTTCATCTTTTGCTATGTTGGTGATAGCAGCACACACACTTGCCAAAACTTCTTTATTTTCAGATTTTAAAAGATTAACAATTAATTCCAAACCACCAACAAACGAACGAACCATTTCCCCAGCATCCTAAGTAAAAAGCAAGACAAATTATAAAATTTTATTTCTGTGAGCAATTTTCAAAATTATAATTAGATCTCAGCAAATAGGGATGATAGAAATATCTTTGTAGATGCCCAGATTCTTCTAGCATCATGGCAGAAATCATTACTTTCTACCCTCAAAAGTATAGTAGTTCAATGTACTTCACAATCACACCTCTGAGTTGCATGTGATTTGTGAGACCAAATCATTACCAGCTACTGCTTTTCAAATGAACATACCATGAAAAACATACTTATTTGCCAAAATTCTAAAGTGTTGTATCTCTTTCATGTTTCAGAATCATAATTTTACATCTCATATTAGTCTGAACTCTTATAAACTAAATGCTGCTTTGAAAAGATACACTATTTATAAACATTATACCCTTACAGATAAAAGCATACCAAAAAAAATCAGTAGTATTTTCCATTTGGAGCATCTTAGAAAGCTTAAGATGTCAAAGCCAATTTATCAACTCTAGTTGCTTTTGCCCAAAAATGTGATGGTGTGACTGTGCAAATAAACCTGAGTTACCAAGAATCCTCTGTGGACTGTGATTCCTTCTGGAGAACCAGTCTTTGTCCAATTCCACTGACTACCATTTTAAAGGAAACCATTTTAAAGTCCATTTACAGGAGGATAGGAAAAAGAGAAAATTCAGTATGTCTTTTCTGCCTTTCATAAAACACTGTTATATAAGAAAATGAGCTTATAATATAAAGTAAGTAATTAATATGTGAGCCAAGCATCTTGGAAAAGACTATATACACATCTGAGGAATGTAATTCTGAAGCAATATTTTGTTAGTCCAGTCTGATGCCATACAAAATGAGTTCTATAATAAAGGTTAATATTGTCTACCTGTAAAAACTTCACCATTATGAAATATGAATACATATAATTTAATACTAATGAAAACATTATGGTAAATATTTTATGTAAAATTATAGAGAAATATTTTAAGTTTCTTTAAGATTTAGTATAGTTGCCACAGATCAGAACAACACATTTTCATTCTCTTGTCCTTAAAAATATTATTGTTGGGTAACAACAGCTAAAAATGAATATATTAACTTAGTTCATTCATTATCTGTGTCATACCTTGCAAAACTAAAGCCAATTTTGCTTAGAAAAGCTCAAGACAGAGTTAATCTGACATATATATTTCTCATCTTTTTATCATTGGTTCAATTTTTCCTATATTTATTTTAGTTATTTCTATGTATTCTAAGTCCCTGGAACAGCTTAGAATTTCATTTTTAAGTAAACCAATATTCTCTTTCACTATAAGCCTGAATTAAAAGATTTCTCAATTAACAAGGCAAGAAGGCTATCATCATACGATCAGTCAAGATCCTCAGTTTACAGCCTTTAATTTGTTAAATTTAACTATTGTTTTAAGGCATCTTTTTTAATGTTTAAAAATAAAAATATTTTTTCTATTACTTTCACATATTAAGAATCAATTGAGACATTTATATCAGTCCCCAAATAATTTATTTTGAACTAATTTGCCAGCTGTCCATAAATATACAAAGTCACTTATTAATACTTTATACCAATAAACTTTAAAATGTAGGGTATTTTCAGTATCCTAAATAATATACAATAGGGGTTTTCATGGGATGGTTCTGACAAAAACAGGGAAATTAACACAAAAATATTGGCATATGAAATATGAAAAACAATTTTATTATAAATATTATGTATAACAACTGTCTAATGTTAGATGAGATTATGTCTAACAACAGTGAGAAGATAAAAAGAGATTTTTGAGGTTAGTTAACATTTTTTAGATAAGAAGAACTGAAGAAGACTTAATCATGGCAAGATGTTACTCTTTAACAACTTAAATTTCAGTCACATGGGGGACAGCAAACAAGGAGAAGAACAAATAATTTGAAAACTTTATCAAAAGAAATATATAAATGAAGTAAGATAAAGTATATTTATTATATACAATAATAAAAATCTGCTCTGATCAGAACAGTTATCTGCTTCTTCCAATGGAAGTATAGTTCGCTGAGATTCCAAGAGCCCAGTGAAAGATTCATAAATCACTTTAATAGTTGTTTATTCACAAACAAAAATATAGTACTGGTTGCCCCTAACTACACTTCGCTTAAAAGCACATATGCTTTTAATAGTTTTAACCGCTGAAATGTGTATTTCTTTCATAAGCTTTAGTAATCAGATTACAAATTTATTACATTCTCTATCTGTCAATTACATGTGCTCAGGTGGTCAAATATAGCTTTTCTTAACACAAACTAGATCTTCATTCATAGCTTTAGGAAATATTGAAGATCTATAAAGCTAAAGTTAATCTAACTAACTGTTATGAACTGTATATTGTATATGCAGATTGTGATAAATTTCTTTATTTTCTGAAATAAAGGTCTTTGTTTAAAATTCATCATATTGCTATCAGCATTCTATGCAATTAAAAGTGCCTGAATCATTTTGGAACCTATCAGTCTTTGTTTGGGATCCACATGGCAACCTTCTTCTAACAAGGTAGACTTTGTAATCCCTGAATGTTTTTTTATGTTTACATTATTCACCACAGGGAATAAAGTAGTATCATGAGTACAAATTGACTTTCCAATATCAACAGAGCTCAGAACACTTTTCACTGCAATTCTTCATAATTATTTGCTTAGATTGGCTAATATACTTCCACTCTGTCACAGCAATTACTTCTACCGTTATGGTTTGTAGCTATTGAATTAACCAGCTAATTAATCTAAATCTACTTCTGTTAAGAAGATTCCGTTGCTCAATACTGCTCTTTAAGTATGCACACACATGCGCGCACGCGCGCACACACACACAGTTAACTCTGATATATACCACTGCAAAAAACATCATTAGCACCATGCAGGAACAATATTTGCCATGATGTACAGAAATGTTCTTCCATTGCCCATGCAGTGTGCCTTTTAATTCCTCAGTGCACCAATGCAAGCAGCCAAGGTACACCTGGATTAGCTTGACTGTGATGAAAGAGGAAAGCTTCCTCATAAATACAAAGTATCATTTATTATAACACTGGCTGTACTCCCTAGCTTGACATTAAGGAAGTGATCCTGTAAATTAATCTTAGCATCCGATAACTTCCACAAGTCAATTCTGCAATTTTTCATGTTTTCTATATAATCCTACATTCAAAGTTTTGAGATCTATCAATTCAATAATATTGTATAGGATGGTAATAAAATATGGGATGGTAATAAAATCTTCCAAAGATGATTCATTTTCAACTATAAATCAAAGAGAATGATAATTACATAAAAATTAAAAAGAGGGACAAATGATGACAACTATAGGTACACTTAACTCCAGTGATTTCCCATAGAGTTATGCGAACACCCTAAATCTTTAAAATATCAAAAAAATTAATAGGGCAATTCTGTTATAATTAAGCCAGTGCAAAAGCAAGCTTTTTTTTTCTGATGCTGAGAAAGTATATCCCTTGGGTATTGCTGGTATCTTCCTAAAATCTTTACTCCCTACTGTCTAAGATAAGAGTAGGACAGTATTAGAAATGGCAAAATCCTTGTATTAATGCAGAAGCAGCATAGATTTTACTCTCTATTTAGTAGTTGAGGGATATTGCAAAATGTAAACATCATATTCCTTGCTTATTTATCAATTCAGAGCTCTAAAAATAAAGAATATCATACAGAAAAGATGAGGAATACACAAAATACATCTCCTATTACTTGGAGATGGTGCATGTTTTATCAAAATTCTGGTAATTATTTTTATATTAAAGAAGCATATCCAATTGCTTCAAGTGTGTGTGTTTTTGTCTTGCTGCTCATTTCCCTTTTTGCCCTTGCCAAATTTGCTATGCCTTATTTGTATTCTAAATAGATTTCCCCGCCACCCTATATGTTCATTCAGTAAGTGAGTGAACAATGAGTAAACATGAATAGATGAATAAAAACTAAATAAACTATTTCCTGATTTGGAAGCATATTCTGAATTTGGTAATCACAAATCTTTCAAACTAAAAGTCAGCAAGTTGGTCAAATATTGTTCCTTTTAGGGAATGATAAACTTCCTTCTTGTTAAAAATTGTGGTATGAATCAAAATTGGATATTTTGATATCCAGTTTTATTTTCTCAGTGATACAGTCATGGTAGAAACCTAATATAAACTAATAATGTGATCAATGCAAGAGAATGCTTACAGATGTAACACTCTGACCAAGCCATGATCAACAGTTGTATATAGATTTAACTTCTATTTAGGACATATTAAAGATATAACCAAACATTTCATTCACATGCAAATCAATTGCCACCCATATTAAATATGTGCAAATCTAAAATATAGTTCAGAGGATTCTTAGAACATATAACACATAACTAATACTTTATGTCTAATCTATTAAGCAGAATAAAGTTTGGATATTATTGCATAATACATGCAATAAATGTTTAGAGAAAAAAGCTGAGCATCAAAGGACACCCATGTATCTCCAATATTATGCAAAAAGCATAGGAAAAAGTATGTACATATCAAAGTACAGTACAACCTAGATGATACCAATTCATACTTTGGACATATGTATTAGCTCTTTCATTCATTCTATCATATAATTGATCCTATATTTATATATTTCTCCACAAAGTGCTGATCCATAGAGTGGCTGAGGGTTGGACAAGGCCATACTTGAATACTGCATCTAGTTTTGGTCACCATGATGTAAAAAAAGATGTTGAGAGTCTAGAAATGGTACAGAGAAAAGCAACAAAGATGATTAGGGGACTGGAGGCTAAAAGGATCAGTTTCCGGAATTGGGTATGTCTAGTTTAATGAAGAGAAGGACGAGGGGTGACATGATAGCAGTGTTCCAATATCTCAGGGGCTGCCACAAAGAAGAGGGAGTCTTCAAAGTATTTATTTACCTTTGCATTTTCAATACAAGGACAAATAGCCCAGGCTGCACTGGCCTGAACACCTGGATGAGGATTTTTCAACAATGACCATAATAAGCGAACACCATCCAAGCGATCAATTATCCTATCAAAGAGAAATATGAAAGATATTTAACTGAAAAATTAGAAGATATAAAATAAGTGTTTGATTAATTAAATGTTATCTTATTTATCCAAGTTCAATTTATTCAATTCAATCATTAAGATCATGGATATTCTTTATGAATGGATTTATTATAATAATTTTTAAATAGAAATAAACTTAATTTTTTCTAATTGGATGATTATATATATATATCATTTAGAAATATAATTGTACGTATTCAGAAAAATATTTACTTTGTATCTGATGGGTGAGATATACAGTTTCATAATATTTTGCCTTAAAAATGATTTGTCAAGAAAATAAAAATAAAATAAATGGTACGATATAGAAGGACTCTAGTAAACTTTGCAAACAAGCCATGTGACTTTTTAACAAGCTTTATGCAAAGTCAGACCAAAATTCAAACATACTGGTTTCTTTCATATAGCAATAAATACTTTCCAAAACAAATATTTATGCCCAAAAGCTATGTATTTAACTCTATATTGAGTCTATGCTTAATTTATTTAACTTGCTCTATGACATATTTTAAATATCTATATGCTCACCTAACATTCAGAATGAAAATGGTCACACTATCACAGTGCACTCTTTGTTGCGTATGAATAACATACAACTTGTTTCTCATGCATTCCCTAAGACAAGACTAACACTGAATACTCTGTTATAATTGCTTAAACATACTGTAATCAAAGTATCTTCATGTCTAGCTGAAAAATGAATTATCATCAGAGCCATCTTTAAACCATCTGTCTTATGTTTATATATCAATCAGTCTAGGGGATCATAACTTCATATTAAAATCCACAGAGTACTTTAAAATAGAAAGGAAGACCAAACAAAACTTAATATCCTTTACAAACTTAGTTTTGTTCAGGAAGATATGCAAAATTCAAAGCAGATGAGGTGAAGATAAAGAAACTCAAGCACACTTTGATTTATAACCTCATGTTTAATTCTAAAGTTTGCCCATGCCTCTAATTGTGAATACATTTACTTTGGAAATAAAATAGAGATTTTACCTATGTGGAAATCAAACAAGAACATCTAATTTTTTTTTCATTATATAAAATGAGTTTGCAAGGAATGAAAAGGACAAAATCAGCCTAGTACATAATCATACAATTATTATGATCCAGCTAGAATGCTTTAGGAAACACAATTTTGTCTAATGTAACTGCAGCATTGCTTAAATCAATGCAACATGGTTATATAACTTTGCTTCCAATATCCAGGTAATTTGGAAAAGACTAATATTAATTTGTTGGAGAGGACTAATGTCAATTTCAGACATTACATAATGCAGACAAATTTATACTGCCAGCATAGATAATGCAAAAAAAAAAAAAGTTCGCTTGGAATGTAGAAAATAAAATTTTAGACTAACAAATAAAATGTTGATAGAAAAAGAATGAAAAGCTATTTAAAAACATGTGATAGAAGGATAAAAAGGAACATTAAAATCTATATAATGAATTCTATTTTCTAGTCCAGTATTTCAGATAGCTTGATAATATTTTTCAAACATTTGTATATTTTGTAACATTTTACAATCATTACACATGCACATTCATTAGCATTTAGTTTTAATTCTCTCAAACCATCCTACTTCTAAAATCCAGATTTTAGTTATAGCAGTTTAGAAGGAGGCAGCCAAGCCTAACAATAATCTGATCAAGATCTCTCAACAAGGCCATGCATGACAGTGGTTTACAGACTTATATGCCTTCTAATCAAAGATTTGCACAATATCAATTGCACCATACTTTACTTAAGAAGGTAAAGATTTACTTTCTTGATTTTAACTATTTAACACATCTAGTTACAGATTTGAAATATTCTGTTGCTATCGCTATAGCATTACATTACTCTGAATTTGCCTTCTTTGTTTCCACTATTTTCTATCCACATTTTCTACTTTCATTATCTGTACAAGTTCATTTGCAGTCAGCTCTGAACTACAACATCAGCAATTCTAAATAGGATTCGCATCTCACACGGCATCTGCTGGGACTCACTGTATAAATGGGGCATTGTGAGGGGTCTCACGTCAAACTGTAGATCACATTGTGACCTACTATATGCTAAGGGAATGTACTGGACCAGTATCTTGATTTTTTTCATGTAAACAATGCTGCACTTCAATGGTTAGCCGGCCTAGACGTTGGTATTAGAACATAGATCCTTTTAGCATTTATATTTTATTGTGTTTAGCATTTATATTTTATTGTGTTTTCAATCAAGGTGAAATGTTAATATATATTAGTAGTCCATATATGATATACTATAGGCTAAATAAAAAAATATATAGTCAGGCCAAGTAAGATATTCAAAATCACTTCTGATGAACCTATTTTTCTGTTTTCTACCAATCCCTTATTGTTTTAACCATAACACTCTCTTTAAAGTATCATTTACTCTCCATCCATTTATCAAGACATGAGTATCCTGGAGGTCTAATTCTTAAGAGTCTCAGTTCACAGAGGCAATAGTAAGATCCAAAAGACTGAAAAGATAGAATTCACAAGCTTGCAATAGAAAGACATTTTACAAATAATGGTTTATGCTGGGCTTGCTATTGAGATCAGCAATAGAATCCAGATGGTTTAGAGTGGAAGCTCAAGCCCGAATTGTCCAAATGGCCTGTTAGAGATAAACCAGTGCTGGAAATAATATCTTCACCTTGATGCTCTTATGACAAGTTGCCAGAAACATTGACTCATTTTCTAGCCTGATTATTTGGATGCAGACCCAATCTTTGCACTCTGGAGTAAGGAATAGTTTTGCTACCTCAGCTGACTCTTGAACTGCTAACTGACCTTGTCTTTGCTAAACTCCTTGGCTCATTGTTGTTTGACTAGGAGGAAAGCTTATTCATTTTCATTTATTTATGTCATAGACCAAATTTTTAAAGAATATTTTCTAGGAACCAGAAAAGAAGAAGAAAGGAAAGGAAAGGAAAAAAATTTTTAGATGGAATCTTGAAGTCTGGATTGTAATATTGAACACAGTCAAGAATGCCCTCTAAAAGTTAGCAGGTGATAGTGGCTTTTAACCATGCCAGCTTCCTTACTGATTTTCTAGGGAAACTTGCAGGAAAGAGTGCAAATGATGATCACATGATCATGAGGTGTGTAGCAACCAGTCCTAAGTGCAAACAGGTTGCCAAGTGCCCAGGTTGCAATCATGTGACTGCAGGAACCCTGCAATGGTAATAACTTTAGGTAAGGATTATAAGTCCCTTTGTTCATCATCATTATAATTTTGAACTGTCACCAAATCAATTAAGGGAGAACTACCAGTAGTTTGACTGTAAAGGATCTATCTTTCTGCTGGTTTCATTTGATCTAATTGTATAACCTGAATTCATAGTTATGTTTGCTTTTCCTAAAGAGCTAGAATGATTCCTTAATCATATGTACATGTTTGAGCTCCTAAAACATTATTCACCATAATTAATTTGAGTTCCCTTTGTGCTACTCCCATTAAGACTAGCTTTGATTACTTTCCACTAGCTTTGCCCACCTGGGCAAAGTTGTTTCCAGCTTTCAAAGAGCCATCAATAGTATAATCATCATTCTTCAAGAGAGATTCACTATAACCTCAGAATCATAACTCTCCTCGGTTTTCCCATCCTTACTTTGCAAACAAGAAAAACCATTAAACAAGAACAGAAAACATAAAAAACAAACTTTTTGAACAGTAGATATGGAGGCCAGTCATTCTACAAAACACTAATGGTTTCCTAAAATACTGTATATGTAAAACAATCTTGGGTCACAATGATTACTTTTGCAATTGACACTGGAATATGTCTGCTAGACCCTGATTGTTAGTTATGCAATTGCTTTCTAAACTAATACATGAGCTCATTTTAAAAAAATGGATTGCAGAGTTACATTTGTTTTACTGCCAAAGCAACAGTTCTAAGTGAATCTACAGCAAGCCAGTTTTGTGCTTTAATAATTTGATATTGAATATTTCCAGGGTAAACAAGCCTCAGACTTTCTCAAAGACACATGCACACACTCAACATCTGTTTCTTATAGCTATCATCCTTTTTGTTACACCAGTATATGCCAGGACTCTAAAGAAGTCTGACTGCATCTCCTGCCAATTGAGACCACATACACAAATGTAAACACTGTTATACTGAATATATATATTGCACTCCCTGGTAAGATTACAGGTTTCAAGTCTTACAAAGCACAATCTCATCTTTTGGAAAACCACAGTTCAACTCTTGTAAACTTAAACAAAAAGTTACAAACTGCTTTGATAAATAGTATTGTAAATCTGAGAGTCAATCTACATCTGGTTGGTTTAGCAAATCTTAAATTTTAGTTCATAAGACTTACTGAAAGAGTGGTTTGAAGTTAAATAAAATACAACATAAAATCTTTAAAAATTTTATAATGTGATTATGCAGGATAAACAAACACAAACACTCTCAAACAAATACATTGGGGAAATTTTTCTAAGGACATGTTTTACATAGTCTAGACCAGCCTCTAGACTAGGGGTTGGCAACTTAAACATTCAAAGAGCCATTTGGACCCCTTTCCCACAGAAAGGAAAACACCAGGAGCCACAAACCCTGCTGCTTCCCTCCCCCAGCACTCCACTATTGCTGCTGCTTACCCCCCTCCTGCGCGGAGCACCCTGCTGCTGCTTTCTTCCTCTACCTCCCCTGCAGAACATGCTCTGCCTCTGCTTTTCTCTTCTACCTCCCCCACATGGAGCATGCCCTGCCGCTGCTTTTCCCTTCTACCTCCCCTGTGCGGAGCGCCCTGCCACTGCAGCTTTCCCCAGCAGCAAAGGTGGAGTTTGGGAGGCAGTGGCATAGCCCAGGCATGGCCCAGCAGCAAAGCTCGTCCTTTCCACTCAGGAGGCCCCCAGCGGCTCCTCACTTCCATCCGAGTTGAAGAAAGCAGAGGTGCAGCAGCAAGATTGCTCTCAAACAATAAAAGCCGGGTGCA